GGCTGGGAGAAAACCTTGTTTAATATAAGATAGTAAGATATATATATATATTTAGATTGAAAAGGTTGTAATAGGGCTAGAAGAATATTGTAAAAAATGTAATAATAATAATAAAGTTAAAGTTAGAGAAAAAAAATAAAAATAAAAATAAAAATAAAAATAGTAAGAAAAGAAAGAAGAGGTAAAGATTGAATTTGTAACTCTGCAGTACTATATATTTAAGCTATAATATATAAAAAGTTACAAAGAAAAGTTATATAAATAATAATTAAAGTGAAAAAAGAGAAAAAAAATATGTCTTTGTTGTAGTAGGTAATGCTACCTCGGTGCACTAGGCCTAACATACTACTAGAAGGTTTGAATGTATAGCTCTGCAGTACAATATACCCTAATCACTATACTACAACCGTCAGAATAATGAAAATCATTTTTGTATATTTTTTGAATATTTGTTTTGGATAAGATCTACTAATCAGATTGTTTAATTTAACCATGTGTTAGTTGTCAGAGAATTGTGTATTGTACAGCATATATATTTAAGGTTTTGTGTTTAGAGTTGGTTTATACTTTAAGTAAAAATAAGTTGACAAAGTTATTTTAAAGCACACTTAAAGAGAAGTTTTAAAAGAAGTTTGCCTCCAAAAGAAATAAAAGATTTGCTATCAAAAGAAAATAAAGATTTGTTTCAAAATAAAGTGATAGCTTTAACTCAAGAAGAAGAAATACTTTTGTTGCAAATTGAGGTTGAGAAAAATGTTAGTAAGATTTCAGAAGAGTGGGCTATAGTATAAAAATTAATTTTTTGAAAAATTGTTATTATTAACTTTATATAAAATATAATTATAGTTATATCCATAGAGTATATTAAATTTTTTTGTACTCATTATTTTGATTATATAAAAAACTAGTACCGTATCCTGCTGTGAATAAACACTTACTTTTTTCAATTTTTATATCCAAGTTTCTCATAACCTAGTGATCAGATCTGTATGATTTTGGTACTATTCGAATCGCTTCGATATGCTGATTCGAATAATACCAAAATTATACAGATCTATTTACCAGATCATGAGAAACTTGGATATGAAAATTGAAAAAGGTGAGTGCTTATTTATGGCAAGATATAGTAATACCAATATTGTTTAGGTTAGGGTTAAAGTAATAACTATATTAAAGTTAGGGTTTAGGCTATTATATAGTAAAATCACTCAAGAAAAACTTTTTATTAATATACAGAAAGTGATTTAGTATTAGGGTGGTTGGCAAGCTGGTGAGATGAGCTTTTTTTTATCTTACCAAATAGTGGCAAGACACTTGGCAAGCTAAAAAAAAGCTTGCCTTGCCAGCTTGCCAGCTTGCCAATTACCCTATTTAGTATACAATTTCTTGTAAAATAAGTGATTTTTGTCAAAATGAATGTTTGTTTTGAATTTTTCTAATCATGTAATATTATGCCTAATCTTGAATTTTAGCAGTGATTTATAAATCATATAATACAGATATATGTATCTTTGGGTACATATTGTTATAGAACATGCTAAATGTCTAGAAACATATTAGATATTTTAGCCCTAACAGATTTAGAAGATTCTGACAATTAAAACAAGCTATAATATATAATAAGCAGATTGGTACATAACTAGCAATTGATAAACAAAGATAAACTAAGAGATAGACAATAAGCCAGAATAGATTTACTTGTAAATTTATATTCTTAATGTTTCATTATATTTCTTAATATTTCTTAATATTTCTTATTGTCTCTTAATATTTCTTAATGTTTGTTAATATCTTATTATTAGTATTGGGCAATATGGATATTTGGACTTATTAAAAATAATATGGACAAATATAGACATAGTAATTTATAGACATAGACATATAGGTTTAGACATAGTCCAAATTTTTTTAAAAATATAGACATATATCAAGTGCCCAACACTTCTTAATGTTTCTTAATACTTCTTATTATTTCTTATTACTTCTTATTGTTTCTTATTGTTTCTTAGTGTTTCTTATTATTCTTTAAGCAAAAATAAAATAGCAACCCATTGCTATGTGACCTCTATATAATCGACTAATTATTTTTTAAATTAGTGATCATATAGATGATTTTTATTTTTTTGTTTTTTTTTAATGTGAAATTTTTTTTTTTTAGTTATTGTTTAGAATCTTTGTTGAAGTCGTCGCTAGAGTCGTCGCTAGAGCTGTTGCTAGAACTGTCTTGTTATTTTTTAGAGAGTCTTCTTCGCCATGTTCGGTAGGTTTTCTTTGTTTTTCGGTGGGTATTCGTCATTTGTCAGTGGGTCTTCATCATTTTTTCGGTAGGTTTTCATAATTTTTTGGTGAGTCTTCATAGTTTTTTGGTGGGTCTTTATAGTTTTTTTGGTGGGATTTTTTCGTTTTTTGGTAGGTCTTCGTCATCATTTTTTGGTAGGACTTCATCATTTTTTGGTGAGTCTTCTTCATCGTTTTTCATAGGTTCATTCAGTAGGTTCTTTGTCTCTTCAAATTTTTAGTAGGTTCTTCAGTAAGTTCTTTAGTGGTTTCTTTAGTAGTTTTTCAGTGGGTCTTTGTCATTTTTTCAATGAGTTCTTTCAGTAACTTTGTCATTTTTCAGCGAGTTCATTAAGTAGGTTGTCTTTTCATCAATTTTTGGTGGGTTCTTCTGGTAAGTTCTTCAGTAGTTTTTCGTCATTTTTGGTGGTTTCTTCTAGTAAGTTCTTTAGTGGGTCTTATTCGTCATTTTTTGGCTAGTCTTCATCATTTTTTGTTGGGCTTCTTCGTCATTTTCATTGGGTTCTTTAGTAATTTTATCATTTTTCAGTGGGTTCATTTAGTCTTTCTGTCAATTTGTGGCAGGTTCTTTCAGTAAATTCTTTACTATTTTTCATTATCTTTCTCATCATTTTTTGGCACCTTTTTCATCTCGTTTTCATCCTCTTTATTTGTTCTGTTTCTTTCTCTTTATTCGTCATTTCTTACCATTTCTTACTGTTTTCGACCCATTTTCTTCTGCATTTTTCTTGTCATTTTCATCCTATTGTACTAAAAAAAAAATTATTAAATTAAATAAAAAAAAACTTAAAAAAATAAATAAAAAAAACATAATAAAAAAAAATATAATAAAAAAACATAATAAAAAAAAAAGTAAAAAAAAGTATTAATGCACATGATTGATTTTGATTGGTCGATCACAGTGTCGCTATAGTGACAAGTCGCCATAAAATAACACCCTATTCTTTATTATTTATTGTTATTTATTATTGTTTCTTATATTTTTATATTCTTGAATATATATTGTAAAAGCTATATAAACTCTAGCTTTTTCTCTCTCTTGTACTTTAGGATTTGTTTTTTGCAATCTTTAAGTTATTAGGATTCTTTAGGTATAGATACCTTAGGATAGCCTTATATCTTGATATTATATTGTACTGTAAAAAATATATCTTAATAAACATATATTTTGCTCTTACATAAACTATACTAAATTGCTCTAGTAAAGTAATATTTCATTTTCATACCACTTTATATCTATTCTGACCCTATATAAATCTCTATCACCGTGTGCTGTATTGCAAGTACTATATTGTAAAGAAGGCTATAGTTTACTTGTAACAATATATATAATCTCTATAATTATATAATTATATTTTATTTTGGTATATTTAAAATTTTGCTAGCAATTCTTTCCAACGATCACTTGAACCGAGTTTTCTAACAAAAAGAAAAGCTTTTTCGATACTAAAAAGTAGTAATAACCTGTAGTGAGGTGAATTAACAGGGTGGTTTTTATAAAAATTAATCTTCTCTACCTGTTGGGGACTCCTTTATATATTTGATATGCAAGCCAAAAGTGTCAGTATACAAGATAACTGGCAGTTGATAGTGCTCTTGTATATGAAATTTTGGTAGATAGGTGGAGATGATAGAAGTCCAAGCCTACCGTCGATGAAGCTATCGGTTGCAAAACAACTAGGGAACAGTAGAGAATAGGTTTTTCTTAAACCATTCTCTTTTATTTGGTCAAGTGGTTCCTCTTTTACTTTTTCTTGTCTTCTCGTCAGTTTTTCAAAAAATTTCGATAAAATGTGGGGATTTGGCTTACCACCTCCAAAAGATCGGCATTGTTTACATCCCAAATTGGATAGACTAGCAGAATGCAACCATGTGTTTGTTTATAAACGGATATGGCACTACTTCACGGGACTTGGCCTGGGAACTCTAATTATGTCAATAGGTGGCTTGAGATACAGATCCTTCTTGGGTTAGAATAAGTATAACCCTCGGACAACAGCAACAATACGAATTAGGAAGGGCAACGAAGCGATTCGGAGTTGGTGGGAAGATTAGAAAATAACTTTAATGTTAAGGCAAAGCCTTACAAGAGAGATATACAAGTATTGCACTTGTTATACAATTTTTACCAGCTATGCATGGGTTATAATAGTGCTTTTAGGATTTTAGATTTCTTTTTATGTTTTTTCTTTTTTGCTATCTGTTTTTCTTTTTTCTTAGTTTTTGGTTTTTTTTTTTTTTGGTCATTTTCATAAGTTCTTTGTTTAAATTTTTCACCCTTTTGTCTCGTGCCTCTTGAGAAGAAGGAAGAATTGAAGGGAAAGTGAGATCTTAACGAGTTGGGAGTTGAGCCCAAGCTATATTATATTTTTAAATGCGACGCACTGTATATGGGATATAGTGGCAATCATCAGTGCGATAACCAAAGTTGGGTATCTTTAAAAGACAGCCGGCTTTTAGTCTAATCAAACATTAAGTATTTTAATTTTGTATTGAATGTCAAACCTTAATAAAATTTTAGTATGTAGTTATCAAAGAAAAAAAAAAAAAAATTTGCTAGCTTAATAAAAGTTATAATATTAAATTTAAAAATTATAGCTTAATTTTTTTTTGTAAAAATATATAAATAGTAATTATATTACAAATAAAAAAATTTTTTTAATTAAAAAATTTTTTATTACTATAAGTTGTAAAATTAATTTTTTTAAATTTAATAATAATGGATAGAAGCATATTTATTGTACTACTAATAATATATTTTGTAAAGTTGATAAAAAATCTAAAAAATTATATATTCAAATAATTTTTATATACAAAAATCTGATAAATACTCTAGTTTAACCGCAAAAAAATTAATTTTAAATTTATAATGAAGTAAAATCTGACATTATACAACTCTTTTTAATGATCACTTAAATAATATTTTCTGAAAAACATTTTACTACAAAGAAAAACCTTACAAGCCGGCACTTGACATACTAGACAATAAGTCAGCACCTGTCGTTTAGAAGTAGTTCTCATATACTACTTGCTAACAAACTTAAAGTTTATCACTCACTGCATAGTCCCGGCACTTGTTGTTTAAATGTAGCTCTCATATATTATCTGCTAATAAGCCCAGAGTTTATTACTCACCAAAAAAATGTTAAGCAGGTGTTGGGTAGTGGGTCTTGACTGTAAAAAGGAAACTTGTATTTCTTTAAATTGGTTTGAAGCTCAAGTAGTCCCTCTTTAACTCTCATCATTTTTCCATCATTTTCAAAATTTTTTTATAAAAAGTGGGAATTTGGCTTACCCCCTCCAAAAGATTGGCATTGTTTACTTACCAATCTGGATAGATTGGTAGATAGCAACTATGTGTTTGGAAACGAATACATTGTATGAGCCCTGGAATAAGTTCTAATCAAAAAAGAAATCCCTGGTAGTAAGTGGCTTGAGACACGAGTATCTGAGTAACAGCATCTTTATAAAAATGTCGTGATCTTTGTTGTTGTTGGCACCATATATGGAGAGTCAGATCCTAGTACAGCGGCAGCACTTGGCTTGAGATATGGACTAGGTTATTAAAAAGATTCAAAAATAGGTCAGAGAGAATTTTAAGGTTAATTTTAGTCTTACAACAAAGATATACAGATGTTGTATCTGGTATATAATTTTTAAATCACCTGGCACAAGTTATAATAGTGTATTCAGATCGCTTAATTTTTTCTTTTTTCTGCTTGTTTTATTTATTTTTATTTATATTAGAATCGGTTTAGGTTTCTCTTTTCCTTTTTTTCTTGTTGTTTCATTTTCTCTTTTGAGTTTTGTTTTCTTTTTTAGAACAATTTCTATTTTTTTCAGTTATAAGAGAGTCTTTAGAAATTTTTTTTAAATATACTTTTCTTCATAATTTTAGCATATATATTAGTCTTACATAGAAGTAGAAGGTAGTATAAATCTGCTAGGATCTAAGTAGATTGAGTTTGGAAAGATATTACCAAAATTTTAGGTAGGATAAGTTTGAAAGGAGAGATCGGCTCTTAAAAGAAGTTTTCTTTTGTAAATTGGCATATATGTTTGCACTATGCAGAAGTAGGAAAAAAATATATTTTGCTTGAATGTTGATGGAATAAGTCTAGAAGGAAGGCAAGATATAATCGGTTTGAATTTAGATAGCTGAGTACTAAACTATAGCAGGTTTTTAAATACGGGTAGCACTGTATGTAGAGCTTGTTGGCAAACATTAGTGTGATAACTATACTTGGACACTTTATAGTAGCTGGGTATTTGTCTAATATGTAAATTAGATAGTTAATTTTCTAAGGTGACAGATATTTGTACCCCCAATTTTGTTATTCGTACCTCCCGTAAACCAAATTTTTTTTTATTTTTTTTAAAATTTGTACAAAGATATTTCGATAATTACCAAGTCGAATTTGATGAATTTTTTTTATTTACATTTTACAGATACATAGAATTCAAATAAAAAAAAATTTATCAAATTTGACATGGTGGGTGTCGAGATATTTTCGCGCAAAGTTTGAGAAAAATTTTGGCGCAGCTTTATTTTGATAGATGTTTTGAGTTTTCTTAACTTTGAGCGAAGGTATTTTGATAACCACCAAGTCAAATTCGATAAACCTTTTTTTATTTGAATCCTACAAATCTGTAGAATGCAAATAAAAAAAAATTTATCGAATTTGACTTGGTGGTTGTCGAGATATCTTTGTTCAAAGTTTTAAGAAAACTCAAAACGTCTATCAAAATAAAGCTGCGCCAAAATTTTTTTCAACTTTGCGCGAAGATATCTCGATAACCACCATGTCAAATTTGATGATTTTTTTTTATTTGAATTCTACGAACCTGTAGGATGCAAATAAAAAAAAATTCATCAAATTTGATTTGGCAGTTGTTGAGATATCATCACTCAAAGTTTAAAAAAAACTTAAAACGTTTATCAAAATAAAGCTACGCCAAGATTTTTTTCAAACTTTGAGCGAAGATATCTTGACAACCACTGCGTCAAATTTGATGAATTTTTTTTATTTGAATTCTACGAATCTGTAGAATGTAAATAAAAAATTTTATCGAATTTTGCTTGGTAGTTGTCGAGAAAAATCTTGGCGCAGCTTTATTTTAATAGATGTTTTGAGTTTATATAACTTTAAGCGATGATATCTCAACAACTGCCAAATCAAATTTGATGATTTTTTTTTTATTTGCATTCTACAGGTTCGTAGAATTCAAATAAAAAAAATTCATTGAATTTGACATGGTGGTTATCGAGATATCTTCGCACAAAGTTAGAAAAAATTTTGGCGCAGCTTTATTTTAATAAACGTTTTGAGTTTTCTTAAAACTTTGAACGAAGATATCTCAACAACCATCAAGTCAAATTCAATAAAATTTTTTTTATTTGCATTCTACAGATTCGTAGGATTCAAATAAAAAAAAGTTTATCGAATTTGACTTGGTGG